TAGGGACCAAGCAACAACCAAAACATAGTGACAAAGACTACATTGAACAGCCTGAGAATGTGTTCATCCTTGTCCAACACAAATCCCACTTGTAGAAGAATGAGGCAGAGGCAGCTGGTGGTGTAGGGGTTGGGACTGTAGAAATAGTGCATTATTTACTATTTTTGTATTCTATAATTTAAATATAATTATATTTGATTAATTATTTGATATAAAATTGTGTAGTAAGCAAAAGCAAGCTATTCAAACACTTGTAATGGCTTGTAAGCATTATAAGCAGATATTACACTGTCACAAATTAATAAGTATGTCTTAACCTTGTAATTTAGGAAGTATATTATAATCACTTGTATAACTTGACAATTTATAAAATTATATCAGAAATTGCCAAGTTTTAAAAGTATTTTTTCTTGCTTATTTAACATTGTACTTTCCTTGCTTAACCCCCCAGGAAGATTATAAGTAATTGGACAAATTTTATAAATTTTATAAAATATACAAGATTACAAGCAAGTATAATACTTAAGACTTTTTCATGATGTGTGAAAGTGTATAAAGATATAATACTGAATTAGTATGACAGTTTATTATTTAACTGCTTAAATCACCCTAATGAAAGAACTTTCAAGAACTGTTTGTCAATATACTAGAAAAACCAAGTGTGTACACTACCATCCTTGAGGCACTAAAACAGATGAATTCCCATCAGTACAGCATTTCCTTGTTAGGAATGGATTATGCTGTGAATCTTCCTGTATTGCAATGTACAGAATTGGACTTCATCTATCATATAGAACCACTTTGGTATGAGAACAGCCTTACAGCGCGCGCGAACAGAAGGACAAAGGTTTAGTACAGACTCACAGCCTTGCAACGTTACCAGTGAATAAAAGCGTGAGTCTGTTGGAGGGCTGCCTGTTAACCAGAACCCGCTCTCCTGTTCAGTGAGTCTCGAGTGCAAAGTTTACCAAAGGGAACTCTGATCAATGGGGCATGGATACCCTGTATACGAGCCCAATCCAGCAGAGTATGATCGCGTGCGTATAGGAGATGTTGGTATTACCCACAGAGATGGATATTTCATACGGGTCTTCAACTGCTTCGCACAAGCTGATCATGGGATCAATGCTTGATACGGTGTACCCGAAGACTTTGAGCCGTTGGATGCTAAGTTCCGGCAAGCAATGCCGAGACAGGTGCTAGAGTCAGGTTCCTGGTACAAATCACACCATCTTCACCAAATCGAAGGCAGTGTTGATTTCTCAACGTGCGGGCGTTTCTATCTGTTTGAAACCTTGCCTAAAATTACTCGTATCGATTGCTGCTCTAGGATGAAAGTTCCTGCAAACTTGAAGGTCAATTTTGCTGGCTCTAGTCAGCAAGCAGCAGCCTTCTGTTTGAAACATAGTGTAGAGTGTATAGATGCAACATGTAGTCTTCCTCTGAAGAAATACGTGATAAAATACTTTGAGTCGTGGGAGCAATTCATTCGCAATCAAGGCTTTGAGTTCGAGCTGCATGACATGGTCTTTGTGACCGGGCATGACTTAACTGCCGAGTGGGCGACCGCAACCAATGTACACAGGACATCAAGAGGATCGCTTGCGGTTATGGTCGGTGGCAGTCTGACCACTGCAAGTGCCTCATTCTCTAGAGTGTCAGAATCCACTTTTGACGTCCCTGTACACATTGGACCTAATCCTTATAACCCTCCCAAACGTCATCACTTGTTCAAGAGTGACTCTCCAACTCGTGGAAGCACAGAACCATTCAAGGATCAATGCATATTCCTTTGGGGATTCCGCGTCGCAAAAAGGCCCATCATACCTCCGAAACTTCGGGCAGCAGCAGGCCCCGCGAATCTCGACATGGATGGAGATGAAGATACCTACGCCGATGTCGTTTCGATTGGATTCGACGCTGATGAAGAGGATATCGTCGACGAGGTTCGTACTGTACGTTCTTCGCACGAGAAGCAGCTTTATAATAGGAATGTTGACATATAGGATATTGCCGATCACAGTTTTGCAACGGACCTAATCTTTAAACTTGTGAGTGTGTTCATCAAAGGTGGGTATTATAGTGCCCTGAAGACCGCGAAAGACGAATGCAGAGGTCGCTATCGTCAACGAATCCGATGTCAGTCTCTTAGCAAAGGTCAGTCTGGAGAGCGTCAGCACCTTTCGTCTTACTCATATTTAACCATTCAGGCTACCGATAATAGTACAGAACAATTGGCATTGAAGAGCTGCGAGGAACTTCGAGCTATGGGGTTCATTATTGAGGCAGAATTTGATCACCAATTGCAAAAAATAGGTATGCAATACTTGACATGTTGCATGGTCGGCTAAACAATAAGTTACCAATAATAGTCGGAACATTGGAGATATTAACTTTGGAAACCCTTGCCTCAAGTAGTGAACCATCTATAGCTCTGTCTTGTGAGCACCCTGCAGTGAATGAGGGTTGGGGATATAAGAACGATGGACTTATCTGTCCAACATCATTGAAAGGAAGGGGGTTCTCTGACCAGAAGCAACCTATGACAGATAAAAAGCAGGGTTGCAAGGATGATGGGTGTCTTGGCCTAATATCTTCGAAAGGAAAGGGAAATGAAGTTACTTCTGCCTCTAGGAAGGAAGTTCAAATGATCAAACCTTTAACTGGTACGTTGGTCTTCAGTCGACCAGAAGTTAGAGAGTCCACTTACTCATGTACTGCTACAGATAACTGTTTCTATCGCGAAGTTTGCCAAAGGGAACTCCAATCAATGGGGTATGGATACCCTGCATACGAGCCCAAACCAGCGGAGTATGATCGCGTGCATATAGGAGATGTTGGCATTACCCACAGAGATGGATATTTCATACGGGTCTTCAACTGCTTCGCACAAGCTGATCATGGGATCAATGATCAATACGGTGTCCCTGAGAACTTCGAGCCATTGGAAGATAAGCGTCGATCAATGATAGCCAGACAAGCATTAGATTTAGGCCACGGGTACAAGTCACAAGCCGCTCACCAAAATGAAGGTGGTGTCGAATTCTCTACGTGAGTAGTTTCTTGGCAGATTTTCCAGTCGCCTTCAGTTCGGATTAAAACTTCTGCATCTTCGCCGTTTCTAGAAAAAATACATCTGTAGGTTCGAAGGACAGCTTCACTACATCCAGCCATCAAAACCCAACCTCCTACCTGGTGCACAACAGGAAACATACTGATGCAACACTTGTGACTCATCACAACCTTACTACTATGGTGGATACTGTATCAAGTCTGTATAGGGTGTCAAAAGGACAGTCTGTCATTGAGATTGGCAGTCTTTCACCCACCACAATTGGCTCTTCCAAAGAATCACAATGCACTCTAGATGTTCCTGTGTGCATTTGGCCTGACCCTTATAGCCATTCCAGACAATATTACTTGCCACAAGGTGGTGCTCCAGCTCCTGGAATTCCTGAACCATCTAAAGATCAACACATTGACGTTCAGCAATCTTACACTGTAACAGGGCTCATCAGGCTTGCAGAACCATATACAGCTGTTGGTCCTCAAAAACTTGACATGGCTAGAGACGGAGATAACAATGTCGACAAGGTTTGTGCACTCCCTGTACAAGTGTCAGCTCTCTGATGAGAATGGTCACTTTATAGGGTATTGTGGATAATAACTTCACAAAGGATCTAACCTTCAATCATGTGAGTTTCTTCTGCAAGGATGCCATTATGCTGTACTGAAGGCAGTGAAAGACGGATACAGACATTACTGTTGTCAATGAGCTCAACATCAGTCACTTACCAAAGGTGAGCTTGGAGATATTATTATCTTTCGGTTTATTTATATTTGATCTCAGAGTTGCAATGCACTTTGTGACGTAAAACCAGGTATGCTATATTCCTTTATGCTTTACAGTCAATTGAACAATACGTGATTGGTAATAGGTAGAATCAGGAAAACGATGATGTTACCTTTGATACACATCAGACCAGAAAGTGCATCCCTGACCAGTCTGAGATGTCAACGACAATATCCTCGGGCAGTTCCGGATTATGCAGAAACAGTGCTCAGCTTTCCAATACCATTAGAAACAGGACAAGGAGCTGTCTCTTTCTCGTTCGAGAAGCAACATGCGATGAACAACGAATGGGTTCATGGCGATATACTCACCAATCTGGAGGATTTCGCATCTGTTTCCTGTTTAGACATGCACGTGACAGACAACGGTGCGTCTTCTTCAGTCACCAAAGGGTTTGAAATTAAGTTTAACCATTTGCTACCTCAGAAAATGTTTTCGTTTTTCCTGGATCTGGGTGTGAATTGAACCAAGCACCCTCTCCCTTTGTAATGATTGGCAATGGTCACATTGTATCCAATCCTTGCAACAGAACAATCAAAATCTCGGATAATCCGGATTGCGAGGCGGGCACACCAGTCGTGGGATCTCTCCACGAACATGTGCTCTGTAGTTTACCAGTTGCGTATTCTCAAGACGAGAGTCGCATTGCATCTACGCCTTGTGACAAAACAAGTCGAAGCCGCGATGGTAAAACAGGCATGCGAACCGAGGAACCTCTCTGCGGGCACGATGTCTGTATTCTGTCGGTTGCATTCTCTCCAGACGGGCGTTGCATTGCACCTAGGTCTTATGACAGATCGATGCGAATATGGGATAGCGGGACATTCATACTAGTCGGAGAACTTCTCTGCAAACACAACGACCATAAGGCCCGGGTATTATGCGACTCCTGTCTGGAGACGATACAGCCGATTGAGCATGATGGAACAATACGAATATGGGATGTAACAACAGGTATGCATATCTTGGAGCTCAAGGGTGTGGTTTTGCAGTCCTAACAGTAGCATTCTCTTCAGACAGGAATAGCGTAGCTTCTGCCTCTGATGACGGATCAATTCGACTATGGCATGCTGCGTCCAGTACATTATGCAGTTCTGTCCTTTGTCATAAGTCATGTCGTGTTGATAGCATTAGGGTTGACCAGAATTTCGCTATTCGAACTGCACACCCCAAATTGCAGTGACTCCAAAGGTCCCTGCAATTTTGGATGTGCAGTTCGAATTGCAAATTCTGGTCGAGATCCTCAATTGCAGGGCCTTCAGGGCTTGTGCAATTGGGGGTTGTAAGGTCGAATCGCAAATTCTGTCATCTCCAGCAAAGGATAGCAATTTGATTCAGGGGAAAGTTCTACATTATTAGATTATCATTATCACATTGCAGCTCATAATCTAGTTGAACTGTGCATACACAGATAATTTCAGTTTCAGTAACATAGTCAAATGTATAATAAAATTAGCTTGTGCTAGTTGTGGATTTATAGGAATGTAGTTATCTTTTGTAATTAGTTTGTTGCTTCAGCAAGAATGTATTTGTTGTTTGCATACACGCGTGGATGAGCAACTTGTTAGATATTTGCAGTGCTTGAGGATTGGGGATCAATGTTAGGAATTTCTACACATATTGTATTGAAACCATAAGAATATTGCAAAGCCGGTGAACCTGTCAACCACGCTTATCTATGATGTCATCCCAGCCCACACATGACTTCTAAGTTGTACCGGTATCTAACATTTACTTAACCTTAAGACATTACAAACTATTGATATCTTGTGAGCGGGGGCTCAGCGCGAAATTCAACATGTGCCAAATATCCTCGGAGAATACCTACTGCCAACGTGTTAATGGAGATAGTGTATTGCCCCTTAAATTCTCGTTAATAATTGGATAAAATACTGGATGATGCGATACTTGATGCACCAAACTATCATCAAGTTAAGTCTTCGTAAGTCCCAGTTAGATGCATTGGAAAATAATACACGAGTGCTTCAAAATACGTTACAGATCAGACATTAAGGACCCACGTAACTTTTAGAAATAGTGGTGTCAAATCAATAGCCTCACTTCGCCTCGCAAACATTCACGTAACGTTACCCCTACGTAAAAAATGAGATTCTGGACAAACGACGGAACATCGCCTCTGCCCTTGAGTGCCATTTTATCGTTCCTCCGTTATTTTCACTGTCCAAGCTGGAAGCTGTAGAAGGCGGTGGATCATAGACCTGATCAATACAAGTTAATGACATGGGTGAATAAGCTCCTCCGTATAATGCAAGATGGAAATACGCACCGGCACGGGCGCCAAATCGGGAGGTGCCATGGGCGGAGGCGGAATGATGATAGGAGGCTGGATTATGACCGGAGGCGGCACAGTGTGTGGTAAAGGTTCAAAAGCAACTGGTTGCGGTGACGGTGTGCGCGATCGTCTTGGCGAATATGAATTGCGGTGATCGTAGAAATAGTCCAGCCTTCGCTCATGGAGCGAATCCTTCCCTCCCCGCGTATTCTCTCGCATTTCCGCAATCCGCACTACCAAAGACGGACCCAACTCTTCCCCCTCCGAAGCAGTGAGCGCTTTACGACGAAACACGAGCTCCATCATAGCATGCATGCGCCAGTCCGTTGGAGCATCGTATTTATCTCCGAGGTTAAGACGCATCGTGGGTGGAGCACTTTCGAGTTCCTGGAAAGCGAGAGCACAAATGGATGGGAAGTCCCAACGATGAGCGAGACGGAGGATAGATACCCATGTTTGAATTGGTGCCTGGTATTGATAATGTGTTCTGTCATTGGTGTGAGCGTTGGAGTAGTGGATGGTAATGACATGTAAGACTCACGGATTGTAAAATACCCAGAGGAAGCTTGTGAAATCGTCGCTTGTCACTTGCGGAAGATTGATCGGATTGTTGTCCGTTGTTCCTTCAAGTTGGCGTAGCGCCGATTTTTCTTTATCCGCATCGGTACTTGAATTCGCCTCGCTAGGTGTTGGGAGGGACAGCATGTCACGGAACAGCCCTGATTCACGCTCAAAGAAATATCGGTGTACGCGGAATAGTGTATCTTCAACCTATTCGTTTGCGCATCTCAATCAGTTCCTTACGGTTCTTCTCTTCCCAAGGCATCGTCGTCCTGTAAGTCCAGAAAGTTGAACATACCTGAAAAACAATGTCCCCACTCTGAATGTAATATGTTTCATGTCTCGTCACAGCAGTGGGACCATCTGTGCTTTTGCTCTTTGTGTTATCCTGCGACGGAAATGCTGATGCAGTATTTACTCCAAAGCCTCCCGAAGACGACGCTGGAGCCGAATCAAGTAGACTAAGCTGCAAACCTGAAGATTCAGATGCGACGGCCATCCTTGCGCACAGCACGCAAAGCTAACCGAACGACGAGAAGGAGAGGAAGAAGGACAAGTAACGCACTAACTACACCATCATGCGCACGTGTTGTTACAGTCTCCTGGGTATGTGAAGCTGTGCGATACTTGTATGGTCCAAAGATAGGTAGTTTCCCATTCAAACCTTGAACAATAAGGTGCTGGAACTGCGATGACTGCGTTGGAGGTAGTCCGGTGCATGCACCAACCCCTGCATGAATCGACATGCCATTGCAAGGATGAACAATTCCTCGACGCGACAAGTTGATGCTTGAGCAGAAGTTTGACTTTCATTCTGCCTCATGGCCAATTTGTAAGCATTCCACTGACGTAATCTGAATCCATCTAATTCGAGGTTCTCTTTTTGTGAAATGCGCTTACTCTACACCACAAGGATTGGATAAAATACATTGACTATAAAGACGACCAAATTGAAGGATATATTTTAGAGCGCACGGGGACAAAAGCCGAGCTATTGCTCAGTCAAGATAGATTTTACAGCAGCGACGTCCTCTTCTCTATCCGATATTCGGCGAATAATGTTCAGATGGCGTGGTCAAAGAACGCGGTCGAGCGAGCTATCGCTGCGCGACATAGACTGATTGTGATATTACGAGGGTGTCGCTGGGCGAGGTAGTACGTTGATCCCACTAGCTTGGGGTCATAGATGTTCCGCTTCCCACACAGAGGTAAAGTCCTTAACATATCTAGTGGAACTCTTGTAGATTCACTTGAAACACAGTGAAAGCTGCCTAGAAAGACCCATTTGATTATTTCAATGTGTACTACGACATGTTTGCAGGGTACTGTATTGTATATTTAGCATGTACCCCTTTCCAAGTTATAAGAAGTGGATCATTAGCACCAGATGGTGTTTATTAAACACAATCTTGTCTACAGAGCATTCTATGAGCAGGTCTCTTCTGCTCAGATGCCATTAACTATCCCAGAGAGTAGCACTTACATACTTCACCTTGACCATTGTCTGTAGAGTAGGTGGGTTATTTGAAGATAGTTGGGACAGTGAACAACAACATGAATTTGGTCACATTAAGTGGAGAGAAACAAAAAGCTAAGTTACTATTCCCACTATTTCTAACTAGATACATTAACTCTTGTTAGCCCTTCCATCATCACTGGTGAATAACTCATCTGTATTTGCAACAGAACTGACAGTTCGACCCCTTTTCCAATGTGTTGGGATTGGATTCAAAGATCCCAGCACTTCTCTAACAATCGGTTGTCGGATGTTCAGACCATAATCAAGAATGCTCTTGACAAGATCGCAGCATCGTTGGATGTCCGAGTCCTTCATAAACGTCAACGAGTCGATGTGAGACATATAGACTTTATCCTTCTCCGGGGAATACCAGTGAACATGAAAGACAGCGGCTCTCTGACTGACTGTAGCCGAAAAAACGACCGAGTCGGTGCTAGTCGGCCTCGTCGAGGGATCGGCCTGCCCACGCAGCTAGAGCAGTGCGTGGACACTGTGAGCGCCACTAATTGCAGCTTGACTTTCAGCCTCATATAACGTACTGCCAGTAGCCTCTGATTTGACCTCGACTACAAAGAACGGGAGTATGTTTTCTTCCGTCGGTTGTGTATATGGCCGTGCCGCGTGATGATCTGCAGCGGCAATTTCCGTATCAGTCCAGTCGGAATCTTGGCCAGTGGGATATCCGTAATTTCGGTGCAGGCAGTGGATACAGATAACTAGCATTTCTCGGCATCGGTTTGGTAGACCATTGTGTGTTGTGTCCTTCTGCAATGCCGCGACGGTCGACAGGGAACGCAAGACTCTCAATGATGTCCGATACGGTGGGTTCGGACTTGTCCCAAACTTTCAGTACTTGGTCCACGACTTTCGACTTGTCTTCATCCTCTGGTCGCGGAGATAATCGTCTCTTGAGAATGTGTGTCTCTACCAAACCTCTGACTTCTGGCGACATTTCCCTTCCTGAAGGGTCGATCGTGACATGGTTCCTAGAGAGTACCGAACGGAATATGGGATTCGAGGTACTGGGTATCTCACTTTGAGAGGATCCAATCGAGCTTGCCCCAGAGTTTTGTCCTTCTTTCTGCGATATTCGATCCATCACCGCTTGCAATGTGTGAGAAGAGGTGTGAGGAGAGGAGGGTTCGCCCACGGTCCCAAAGGTCTTGCTGCTGGTGACTTCTGGCGGGGCAGTTACTGATTCGATGGTTGAGAGCCAATTGAGAACTTTGCGCTTATTCGCAGGCTCAGAATCGGGTTCTTCACAGACTCGTTTGAGAGGACGCGAAGCTTTGCTTGGCTGCTTGTGCGAGGGTCGTCTTTTGTAGGGCTGGATGTAAGTTGGCAATGCAGTTGGCGAGGGAGTTGGCGGCGGCTTAAGTCGACAGTGCTTGCTTGTTGGCGGAGGATCTGGATCGATGGCCTGCAGAGGTCGTTTGGTAGGCTTCGTACGCTTTAAAGACTCGGCACCAGAGCGCATGGCAATCCAGAAGAGAATACATGTGGAGTTGTGGTAAATTGACGAGAAAGAAGAAGGGAAACTGCGACGACAGCGGCAACTCTTGGTCTCACGTGTAGTACTCATGACCGGAATAGAATCCAGACTAGAATTCTTACAGGTAAATTAAAATATTATAAGAATAACAAAGTCAATGTTTATAGCGGACAACAGTATTCTGGCTCCAGAAAATTTGTAAAAGGAAAGAGATTTGTAGATGATTAGCAAACTTGTTCCCACGGATAATGGAGCAGAAACGATGAGAGGCAGAGAGAGTGTGCTTCTGAGCAACGTTGACCTCTATCTCATTCGTCCGCTTTGTTGGCTATTGTTGCTTTGAGTTTCACTGAGCCTAGTGCTACATAAAGGAACAAAGTCGAATTGGTAATGGCAATGCATCTTTTGATCGTCGGAATCTATATAAATGAAAGAACCTTTAGGAAATCAACCGGAAAATCTGACCTTACACGGTCATATCGGGCACTGAACTGAATGGATCGTCTTCATCATAGCCTCTCCCTGCTGAGGATGCACACCCTGCATCGCGATACACAGCTCTGAACTTCATGCATTGTAAGGAACTATTTCTGAATTCAAACGTGCATCACGGTGTTTATGGATGGGAAGATGGAAGGTTTCCCCAGGACTCACAGCACTGCGGTGTTGCCTATCTATAAGCGTCGGTCTGTTATGAGTACCTTCGCAAGCCCTCCCCATCCTCGTAGTCGATGAGTCTCGAGTGCAAGGTTTACCAGAAGGAACTTCGGTCTCTCGGGTATGGACTCCCGCTATACGAGCCAAACCCAGCGGACTACGATCATGTCCGTATAGGCGATGTTGGCATTGCAGACAAAGATGGATATTTCACGAGAATATTCAACTGCTTTGCGCAAGCGGACCATGAGATCAATGCTCGATACGGAGTTCCTGAGGACTTCGAGCCATTGGAAGAGTGGTGTAAATTAACGAAAGCAAGGCAAGCGTTGGAACCGGGACTCTGGTATAAGTCACAGCATGTTCACCAGATTGAAGGTAGTGTCGAATTCTCAAAGTATTTGCTTTTGTTTATTCGTCCGAAATTTGTATTAAAATAACCCGCTTTTTTCTTCGCCTCCAGAACAAATGCTTCTGCCGGAATGAGGGTCAATTTTACAGTCTCCAGTCAGCAAGGTGCTGCGTTCTGTTTAAAGAACAGTGCGGAACGGATAGATGCGACTCGTCATATTCTCTTGCGCAAGTACATGCTCAAGCACTTCGAATCATGGGAAAATTTTATTCGTGACACAGGAATTGCCTTCGAGTTACAGAATATGATTTTCGTGACTGGGCATGACCTTACTGCTAATTGGGCAACAGCTACTAGCGCACACCGAACATCGAGGGATCTATTTCTCTCACAATAGGTAGTATTATGGCCACCGCCACCGCTTCGTTTTCCAGAGGATCAGAGTCTACCCTTGACGTCCCCGTACGCATTAGGTCTAACCCTTATAATCCCTCCGAACGACATTATCTACTGGATGGTGATGCTACATCTCCCGGAACTGCCGAAGCATTCAAAGATCAATGTTTATTTCTGCGCGGGTACCGCGTCGCAAAAAGGCGCATCTTACCCGTGAAACTACGAGCGGCTGCTGGACCTGGAAATCTTGACATGGATGGAGACGATGACACCTACGCTGATGTCTTTCCGATTGGTTTTGACTCTGACGAAGAAAGTCAGATTGACGAGGTTAGTGCGTTCTGTGTACAATATGCGGCTCTCTAATGACAATTGCCTCCGTATAGGTTATTGCAGATCACAATTTTGCGATGGACCTTGTCTTTAAGCATGTGAGTGAGTTCTTCGGATGCAAGTGCCAAGTTAAACTGAAACCGGGCAAAAGACGAATGCAGAGATCGCTATCATTAATGAATCCGACATTTGTTATTTAGCGAAGGTTAGCTAGAGAATATCAGCCCCATTCGTGTTATTAATATTTGGTCGTTCAGGTTATTGGTAATCACACAGAACAACCAGCATCGTGGAGTCGTGAGGAATTTCGTGCAATAGGGTTGGAGATTAAGGTGGAATTTGATCCTCAAGTGCAGAAAACGGGTAAGTCATCCCTTTTATGCGTTCCAGTTGATTAAGCCGATACGTGGTTTGTAATAGTTGGGACGTTGAAGATGTTACCGTTGGCGGCCGTTGTCTCGAGCAGTGCAGGTCCGACAGTTCTGCCTTACAAGGACTCTGTGGCAGACGGTAAACTCGATTACAAAGGCGATGACTGGATCAGTCAAGCCCCATCGGTAAAGTGGAAAGAAGTTGTCTCTGTGTCTAACTTGAAGCAATCCAGAGAAGACAGCGAAGGAATCTATGAAGATGACAAATTCATCAATACGGGGCCTTCTAAAGGGAAAGGGAAAGAAGTTGCCTCTGTCCCCAATACAGAAGTGCAAATGAAAGAATCCCGAATCTGTATGTCAGCTTTCAGCCAGACAGCAGTTAGAAAGTAGTTACATTGATCATTATTATAGCCAGTCATCCTATCGCCTTTGGAGCGAAAGACACAACCGGTCAATTACGGGATGCTCTGACAATACTACCCAACCAGGTACTTATAGGACACATAGACGGTGTCCGCAGCGTGGCATTCTCTCCTGATGGTAGTCGCATCGCGTCTGCCTCGGTAGACTGCACAGTTCGACTCTGGGATGCTGCGACTGGCGTGCAAATCAGGGAACTACTTCGCGGATATCAATATTCTGTTCGCTCGGTTGCGTTCTCACCAGACGGGAGTCGCATCGCATCTGGATCTTGGGATGGAACAATTCGACTTTGGGATGTCGTGACGGCCACGCAAGTCGAAGAACTTCTTCGCGGACATGATGGCCCGGTTGAGTCGGTTGCATTCTCTCAAGACGGGAGTCGCATCGCATCAGGGTCTGTGGACAAATCAATTCGACTTTGGGATGTCGCGATGGGTATGCAAGTCGGGGACCCTCTTCGCGGACATGACCAGTGGGTTGAGTCAGTTGCATTCTCTCCAGACGGGAGTCGCATCGCGTCTGGGTCTCAAGGCAGAACAACTCGTCTTTGGGATGTCGCGAGAGGCATGCAAGTTGGGGAACCTCTTCATGGACATGATAATATAGTTCAGTCGGTTGTATTCTCTCCAGACGGGAGCCACAGCACATCTGGGTCTTGGGATAATACAATTCGACTATGGGATGCTACAACAGGGAAGTAGGTCGGAGAAACTGAACCTCTTCCCGGACATTTTGGCACGTTTATTCGGTTGCATTCTCTCCGGACGGAAAACATATCGCATCCGGGTCTGCCGATACAACAGTTCGAATCTGGGGGATAGCTGAGACGTTATCCGCCAGCCTGCAGCAATGACACCATGCGCGCGAAGGTGATTATATTGCCAGACAGGTACCGCAGGTCCAAACCATGTTCGTGAAGCGAAGGATGCGTCTGAGACTGTGGTCCCGTATTTATGATACCTTTCAATGGATCGCGAAGTTCGTTGATATCTGTCCATGAACACGGTAATGAATGAATTAGTCTGCATTAGTACATGAGTTCGACAAGAATATGCATATTATTCGCGTATACGCGTGAATGGGCAACTAGTTTAATATTTGTATCGCTTGAGAGGTTCGGATCGGAGCGAGGAAATTCCACGCATGTATCGTATTGAAACCATAAGAATTTTGCGAAGATGTTGAACCCGTTGATCACACTTGTCTATGGGGTCATCCCGACTCACACATGGCTTTTAATTTGTACCGGTATCCGACATTTGCTTAGCCTTACAACATTATAGAATAAACTATTGATATCTTGTGAGTGGCGACTCGGCGCGAAATTCGGCATGTGTAATAAATCCCTCGAAGAACACCTACGCCCACATATTACTGTTACACGAAATACTGTACTGCTCATTGAATCGTCGTCAATAATTGGATAAAACATTGAATAATGCGATAGTTGATGCACCAAACTAATATCAAATTAAGTCGTTGTAAGTCCCAGTTGAATATGCATACGTGAAAATAATACAAAAGTTATACTAGAAGTATATCAAAGATATCATCTTACTATCATACACCAAGGACCCAAATAGCTTTCGGAAACTGACATAGCATCTCGAGCAGCCTCGCTTCACCTCACAAAATCATCATGTACCTTTACCCCTTGTGCAAAAATGAGATTCGGGATAGACGTCGAAACATATCCTTTGCCCTTGAGCGCCATTTCTTCCTACCGTCGTTATATTGACCGTACATGCTGGGGATATGAAGGGAGCTGCTGGAAGGTATTGAAAGTGTTCCGATATGAACCTGATCGAAATAAGTTAACACCGAGAGTGATTGAGCGATTCCAAATTATGTGGAATGGAAGTAAGAACACGCACTGGCCCAGGTATAATTATTGGGGTTGGACCGGGCGAAGGTGGAATTAGAAAATGCGGCGGTGGTGGCTGTACCGGTATAGGAGGCTGTATAATGACTGGATGGGGCGAAGGTGTGCGGGATCGCCTTGGAGAGTACGACCTGCGACGATCGTGAAAATAGTCCATCCTTCGACCATAAAGCGTATCCTTCCCTCCTCGCATATTTTCCCTCATTTCTGCGATTTGCACCACGAGAGTCGAGCCCAATTCTTCACCTTCTGAAGCAGTGAGTGGCTTTTTACGCGTCACAAGCTCCATCATAGCACGCATGCGCCAGTCCGTTGGTGCTTCGTATTTTTCTCCAAGGACAAGACGAGCTGCGGGAGGTGCACCCTCGAGTTCGTGGAAGGCGAGAGCACGGATGGATGGGAAGTCCCAGCGGTGTGCGAGGTGGAGGATAGACGCCCACGTTTCGATTGGCTGGTTGTATTGGTAATATGTTCTTTCTCTGAAGTGAGCTTTGGAGTTGTGAACGGGAACTACATATAAGACTTACGGATTGTAAAACACCCAAAGGAGGCTCGCGAAATCATCGCTTGTCACCTGCGGGAGATTTATTGGGCTCTCATCTGTTGTTCCTTCTGGTTGACGTGATGGTGATTTTCCCTTGTCCGAACCGGTGTTTGAGTTCTGCCCGCCAGGCATTGGAAGGGAAAGCATATCTCGGAATGGTGCAGATTCACGTTCGAAGAAATATCGGTGTACTCGGAAGAGTGTATTTTCAACCTATTTCGTTTGGGCGCCTAAATCAGTCTTTTACACTCCAATTCTTCCGAAGGTATCGAGGCCCTTTAATTCCACGATTTTGGACGTACCTGAAAGACGACATCTCCACTCGGAATATAATACGTCTCATGTCTCGTCACTGAGCCCACTTGTCCACCCACACTTTCACTCTCTACGGCATCCTGCATCGGCAATGCAGACGCTTGTGGCTCATCGTAGCTTGTTGAAGTTGATGCTGGTGCCAATCCAAGCACGTTAGGCTGCAAATCTGAATATATGGCGGACGGTATAGTCATCCCTGCCAACAGGGGCGCAGCGCTACCTGACAAGAGAGGAGGAGGAAAGGGTGAGGAACGAGCCACGCACTAACTGCACCGTTGTTTGTGCGCCCGTTTTGATATGAACTCCTGGATACTTTAAAGCTGTGCTGTATTTGTATGATCCGAAAGTAGGCGGTTTTTTTGTTCAAACCTTGTACAAATAGGCGCTGGTATTACAACTGGCGTGCGGGAAACTTGGGTGCCTATGCACCAATCTCCACAAATCGACACGCTATTCTAAGGAGGAATATTTCCTCGACGCAACAAGTTGATGCTTTAGGTTTGACTTTCATTCTGCCTCATGGTTGATCTGTACATAAGCAATTCGCTGACGTAATCCAAATCCATCCATTTCAAATCCTTGGGAAGGACACTCTACTCTATACCATAAGGATTGGACAAAATACATCGACTATACTACATATCAAGAAACGCGTCCTAAATGTTAGCATATATTTTGAGAGAACGAGCATGAAGAACCAGTTATTGCGCGGTAAAGACAGATTTTACAGCAGCAACATCTTCTTCGGTATAAACCTTTTGATGATCAACGGATGAGAACTGCCGGGGTGGAGTAGTCAAAGAACGAGGACTGAGTGAGCTACCACTACGCGACATCGACTGGTTGCGATATTGCGGGGGTGTCGCTGGACGAGGTGGTAGGTACGTGGATTCCGCTAACTTGGGATCGTAGGACCTTTCACTTTCCGCAGGAGATATAGGTCGCGAGTCAGTAGCAACAGTAGCAACATACTGGGGCCAATCCGTTACGGGAGCGGCTGGAAGTGGGCTCCGGCGATGTCTCGTCAGCTGCTCGTATGAACTCAGCATGGGCGAGCGGGGGTGTCTCGATGCTGCAACAGAGGCAGCTTCACGTGCTTCAGCCTCAAGACGCCTGCGCTCACGAATCCGTTCGCGGACTTCGGCCAGATGAAGCACGACATCGAGACCAAGGCGGGTTCCTTCTTCCTTAGTGATAGGCTGTTCCCGCGCGCCAAGTTCCGCGTAGGCTGTCTCCAGCCATCTGCGCTTCGGGTCGACCTCGAATTCGCGTGCCATGACGGCCTTGTCGACTGGTGAGATCTCGAGTTTGTCCATCTCACGGACTGCGAGCTCTTTTACTTTTGGGAATTTCCAAGTATGGGCGAGACGTAGGATAGATGACCATTTGTTCACAGACGCCTCATACGAGTAATCACTGGCATAACGAAGAAAACAGTTGAGTCATGCTTGTAACTAGAATAGAAACAGAGGCACATACGGATTGTAAAAGACCCAAAGGAAGCGAGTAAAGTCCTTCGCTGTGACGCCACGAAGTTCAAGGGGATTTGAGTCCGAAGTACCGATTCGTTGACCGTTGGGTCGGTGAGACGCATTGAGCATATCTTTGAATCTTTGAGACTCTCGCACGAAGAAATAACGGTGCACTTTGAATAATTGTGATTCAACCTAATCAAGTACAACACATGTCAAGCTCAAACGGACTTCCAATTACTTCAAATGGAGTTGAGGAACGTACAAGAAAGACGACGTCGCCGCTGTCAATGTACAAGTCCGAGTGACGCCTAGGGGTCGGAGGGCCTCTAGAAACTTGCGACATCTTCCCCCAGCTGCCAGCACTGGTGTCACTAGCTACTGAAGCAGGCGACGGCGGTACGTCCTCGTCGTCGGACTCGGATTGATGGTTCATATTGTGGCTATAGCCGCTGATGTCGACAGATAGCACACCTTGATGAGGTTGAAGAGGCGGATATGGCATTGCTCAAGCTTAATCAAAATAGTAGGTCGAAATGTGGCTTACGCGTCCTGTGAAAGTTGGTGGTTTACAGCAGACATGCAATTGATGCATGGCTGAGAAAAACAGATCCAGGCGTGCTTTTGTGATCGACGCGTGCAAATCGGGTGGTTGGTAATAGGTCATAGGCACGTGGCCGCGTCAACTGTACAGTTTCAAATTATGTAACAGGCAATGCATGCCCATTTACACCTTTATTTCGCACTAACTCCATGACGTGCAATGGCAAAGACACCACCAACTGACCCCGTGTGGAACGTAGAATTCACCATCGGAGTCAGAATATACAGCTTGCGAATGTAGATCCCCGCTGCAAAACGGAGGCTTTTTGCATGAGGCAGCATCTACTCCGAAATTTCCTCCTTGAATCAATTCCGTGAGATTAGGATCTACGGTAAACGAGTTCCTCATCAGTGCTCTCAGTAATTTCGGAAGCATGCGTTCCTGACTTCGTGCAATTCGGAATTCGGTCTTGGCCTCGTGACTTTCCGCAGTAGGGAATGGCTCTCTCGTCCAAAGTCTTTGCTGGCAGTCGAAGTCTCAACCGGACCGTCTCTGCAGACGTCACGACATATAAGTTCTGCGAGAGGTCTCGGACCGCTATATCGGCCTTCTAAACATATACTGTGTACTGGTCAGCCGCCTAGGCTTCTTGGATGCTCCTCTAGAAGACAGATATATAAGAACAAGAGTCTCCTACTCAACCTACAGACCCAACTCATACGGTTCGATACTCTTTCAAAAGAATACCAATATGCTAGTCTTCGGCTTGTTATGTTGTCTGTATATGACAGGAGCTTTGGCGGCGTCACTGGCAGCTCAAGCACCTTGTACACTTTCGGCAAGCGGTGGTGATGATGCTCCGACCTTCGTCTCTGCTGTTCTCGATCCAGCATGTCCAGAAATCGTGATCCCCGCAGATACCACTCTCAATATCAGTACCAAAATGGATATGACAGGGGCACAAAATAAACATGTTGTAAGACTTATATTTGTTTTGATATTGAGGTCTATGATCAAACAGCATACAGATTTTGGAAGGAACGGTCAAATTTAACCCGGATATTGATTATTGGGTTGCAGTACGTTGTCATTTATCAGTATAATCGCATAAGGAGCTAAAGTACGCATACTGTGGTGCATCTTGCATCTCATTTCTTATATAGAACGCATTTCCTATCACTTTCCGTAAGTAATCTTAATGTGCAAATTGATTGCCTTTAATTCAATACAACGGCATCGCTTAGAAACCCAGATAACATATTGGTTCCTCGGTGGCTCAAACATCGTGATGGATGGCGGCGGAACGCTTGATGGCTCTGGTCAAGTAAGCTACAATTACTCATAATATCTTGTCGTCTTCCTGATATCTCCGCACATAGGTATGGTACGATGCGTTGTACGTTATGTTTCGCAGTTCATGCCTTTCCAGAATCACTGAAAGATGGATCTATGTTATTTACAGCAAAAAGGACGATTCACTACTCCGTCCCATTATTCTTACGATTTTCAATGGAACGAACGTCCTTGTTGAGGTACGTCCTATTACTCCACGACAAGTATAATGAAGCTGAAAAAACAAATAGAACATTAAAATGATTAATTCTCCAGAATGGTTCAACCTCGCACATTCATCCGTAAATGTCACTTATTCCGGGATAAATCTTACCGCAGTCTCGACATCGAGTGCAAAGATCGCAAATACGGATGGTTGGGACATCTACCGCACGGATCAGGTAGTCATCAAGGACAGTGTAATTAATAATGGGGATGATTGTGTGAGCTTTAAACCGAGTGAGTCGGACATTCTTTCTGTAAGACTCAGGAAACTCATCAATGTAATATACGGATGCAGATGCCACAAATATCCTTGTGTCAAATTTGACTTGCTCGGGCTCTCAGTAAGACATGTGTTTCATTTGTTGCTGGGCACATATTCACCGGAACTGCATCTGGTCTTCTGTAGCGGTATCTCCGTCGGCTCTCTTGGACAATTCGAAGGCGTGTTTGATATTGTCGAAAACGTGACTGCAACGTGTGTCTAGGTTTTCAAACTATTTACACTGTACTTCTCGTTGCTAAAGCGATATATTCAATGCAGAAATGTCCGAATGTCCAACGCGGAGAACGGCGCTCGTATCAAATGTTGGGCGGGCTCGGGCGTCGGAAGTGGTATCGTAAAGAATATCACATTCGAAAACTTCGTCGAGAGCGCCGTGGACAATCCGATCGTTATTGATCAGGTATGGGTGATAAGAAAACATTTTCCGGTGTATTTGTAAATGGACGTTGTTCCACTGACGCTTCTTTGATAAACTCAGTGTTATATGACCTCTGCGGATGACTGTGCCGAGTTCCCGAGTAACACATTGATTCAAAACGTTGTATTCACCCAGTACGTTTTACGACGATCACTGTCGCATTTGAAACACCTTTGAAGCTGTCTACTAACTTACACTTGGTGTTCTTGTCCAATAGTATTTCGGGCACCGGAACGAGCAAGACTGTCGCGTCACTTGACTGCTCTCCAGATGGCAGATGTAGCAACATCACTGTCTCAAATATTGATCTCTCGTGCGTCATTTTTTCTTTTCTTTTTTTGCGTTGTTTTGATCTTGCCACGTCTAATTTCCTCGGTAATCAGTGCACCCAGTGGGACGGCTGAGTTTGAGTGCGAGAACGTTGTTTTGACCGGTAGTTCTGCTTCTCTGTTCGGGACCTGTGATACGACATGAGGCTGTTTCAGATGGAAGCGCTCGTCTGTACTGTATTGCTGTGAATGCCAGTAGTTATTTTTTCTCTTTCCTCTTTTCAAGGGGCGGAGCAAAAACGCAACAACGCATGAGGGCTGCGGTTCGTGGATTGAGAGCAGGTTTTGCAACGAAGATTGCGTGATCGCGTTTAGAAAAGAGGGAAAAGATATAGTAGCGCCACTGAATACGGAAGCGTATTAAATTGTGATGACAGGGGCCCTGTGCATATCAAATGGGTCGAGGTATCCTGTCGATTCCGGCGAAAACGGTCAAAACGGTGTTTACGAAATCCCAACTGAGTGTATTGACTGTATCCTTCATCCGAGGCATTTTCTGCCAGCTGTTCAGAGCGAGAATGCCAGAATATAATTCAATACGCGCTGAGAAAATCAGGGAAGGACGGGAGAGAAAAGAAGTGAAGATTGAACGGCGAGAAGCAGTATAGTTGCCCTAATTGGAACTGGGGAATCCAGTGCACACAGCCACCGCACATCCTAGCACCGGGCTACAAACACAATTTATATCGCCCCAATCAATCTCTCTTCCTTACACTCTAACCGCCACCCACGTTAGACCATCCACGCACAGACAACCTATGACCACAATGCGCGGGAAGGAGAACCCAAAGAAAAAGCGGCTTGTCGAAATCGCGAACACGACCCTGGAGGCGATCGAGCGTGGCTCCTATATTGTCGAGGACGTTGGTCAGATTTTCCTTGCGGAGGCCATTTCACGATGCGTGGAGCATACGCGATTGTACCCTGCGGAAGGCGTATTGTCAGCATGGGCATCCTCACCGTGTTTGAGCTCGTCGTGTCTCGTTCGCGCTCAGCTACCCTCACAATCTGTACCCTCGACTCCTAGTACGGTCAGCCGCGAAAAGGAGTGCAAGGTCCTCATTATGCAAACTTCGACTCTCGCGGGTGCGCGGTTACTCGCAACTACTACAGCGCGACTTGGGTCTAGCTCCGTCGAGACGGAACGCGATGATAATAAGATCGGGATACTTAATTTCGCATCGGCGAAGCATCCAGGTGGTGGGTTCCTGAATGGTGCGGAGGCGCAAGAAGAATCCGTCGCGCGATCGTCTACACTGTATCCTTCCTTGATGTGTCCTGTTGCGGAACCGTTTTACACGTTACATCGTCATGATCCACAAGCTGGCTACTATTCGCATTCGATGATCTATTCTCCTAACGTTCTGCTATTACGAGACGATGAAGGTGAGTCATTATGTCTCTCGTTCGTTTATGACTACGGCTGTCTTGTGGCGGTGAATCAGACTCTCTTGGGGTGCGATGGTTATATTCGGGCCCGAGAGATTATGATTCATGACTACAAGGCTGATGGTCATAATCAGCGATATATGTCCCAGTGTCTATATGCGTATGTATACTGAAATAAATACTGCTTGTTATCTAGGTTCATGGCAACGGCCGGTAGTCGCAGACATCCTCACTTCACCAGCTGTCAACGCAGGCGTCGTAAAACAATCCGTCATGGGGCGCCTCTCACCCAAGTCCGAAACCGCAAAAATTGAACGCGTGATGCGGGAACGCGCCTCCCGCGCACTATACGCCTTCGAACGTAACGGCGTCCGACATCTCGTCCTCGGCGCCTGGGGCTGTGGTGTCTTCCAAAACGATGTACGCACTATCGCGACAATCTGGGCTGACCTCCTCGGTCGCGAGGAATCACGTTTCCGTAGGAGCTTCGACCGTGTAATATTTGCCGTTTTAGGCGAAAAAATGTATAAGGAATTCGAAGCTGCGTTCACCGTGCGTGTCCGGGGAGATGACCGATTTAACTGTGTTGAGGTACCGAACCTCGCGAGTCGCTGATATTCATGTACCGATGGGAAATTCGATGTTCTTCACTTAAGATATTCTTTTCTCCTTTTTTTTCGGTACTCCGTACGTCTTCTTTCTTCCTGTTGTTCGAGGTCTCTTGTATGTGCTTCTATGGTTTATCGACGCTGGACGTAAGGTACTAAAGTAGTGTAACCCAGACTTATTTTTACGCCCTGTCTACGTACGCGGGAATGCCTGTATCCCCTCTGTTATCTCTACTTTCCAGCTCTCATCTAGTATCACATATCATATTTACATCCAAACATGAATCATTGTCTATCTCCTATCCATCATATCTCTCCATTATAATCGCCATACTCTTACCCACTATAGAATGCCCGTACGTCCCCTCACACGCAATTGGAGAAAACACCAGTCTATGACTATTATGTCTTTATTAAAATCCTAGTATGCACGTTTCCAAAAACCAATAGTAATACATATTCTATAATCAGCGATAGCTTGTGTAAATCTATACTTTCAGCAAGTTTTCTCCGCGTTCTCCCGGATTATGGAATTATTAGTGGAGTCTATCTAAGTATCTACTATCTTGTTAATTAATCAACGTAGGTGCACGAGGCGTGCTTCGTAACGTTGGGCCACAATTCAGTGTAAAGTGTATCGATCCAATTGGTTCGTAAACTTTAACAAGGAGAACAAGAAGCTTAAGGAGAAGGGAGCGGAGGGTGAAACAAGGTGTTCATTTATCAGGTTCCTGGAGAGAGTTTTTGCCTGTATCTCCTCGCACTCCTTAAATGACCAACAATCAATTATCTTCGTCTTGATCGTACGAACGGATAACCAAATTGACGAAACGTAAATTAATATTTATTCCTTTAGACATTGTGCAGAAAAGGAGAAACTAGTAAGCAGTACCCTGCTACTACGTCAGGAAAAAGTCTTAATTATTATATACTCTTATATGTGTATATAATATGTAAAAAAACAATATTATCCATAATGACATTTATTGCACCCCTCATTAGATAAGATATATAAAAGATACTATAAGGTTGTAATAAGACAGATTTATATTATGAGAATTAATAAACATTACATGTCCTTACAATGGGGATATAAGAATTATAGCTCTTAGGAAAGTCTATAATGGTATATATTGCACCCCTCTTCTGATATGGCATAATACTTCTTCTGCTATCTTATAATCCTTAAATAAGTTAATTTACAGCTTATATCTTATCTGAATGGCTTATTATACAATATATATTTTATTTAAATATTTTATTCTTTACTAACAACGCCGAACGGTACATAATATTAACACATTATAACAGAAACAAAACTATCACTACCTTAGCAAATCACAACAACCGATAGACGTACCATGGGTATTCATCTCCTCGTGCTCTTTCTTCCTCTGCTTCGCGAGTTCGCCCCAGTATTTACGTTCCTCTACAAACAGCGAACCCCATTGGTATGAGATCGTTTTGGAGAGGTCAGCTCGACGCTGATGTCGTGCGACCAGGTCATCTTCTGCAGGTAGTGCAGCCTCCACCTCGTTCTTTTTCAAACAGCATTTACAACGGAAGACAATGAATGCGTTCTTGG